GGGGGGGGGGGGGGGACCACAAGGCCTTTTTTCCCCGGGGGGGACCCGGCCCGGGGCGGGGGGAGCCCCCCTGGTTTTTTGAAAAAAAATCGCTGATGGCCCCTTAAACCCCCCGGAATGGAAGTTAGAAAAAAAGGAGACCAACGGGAACTGAACCAAGCCGGCCGCCAGGCGCCCCGTGGGGCGGGGCCCTGGCCTCCTCCCCCGCCCCGCCCTTGCTGGCTGCCAAGTTCCCTGTTGAGCAGGAACCCCCCCCCCCCCCTCCCCCGCCCAGGACCCTCACAAACGTGAAGCTGGAAGCTGGACTTAACCTTAAAGAAAGGCGGGGGGGGGGGGGGCACCATTAAAATATTCAAACAGGGGCTGCTGGGACGTGGCCCTCTCTCGGGTCCTTGTTCATTTCTAAACGCGCGCTGTCACCTTCGGGAGAAGGTGGGGGGCGGGCAGAGCTCCGCTACAGGAAGCCGACAGGTGCTGGGGGGCAGGTGCAGGGGTCCGGGAAGGCCTCCCCAGGAGGGGCGCTCGGCCAAGAGGCAAGAACCAGTTAAAGGTGAAGTGGGAGGAGGGGTTCCCGGCAGAGAAGGGCACGCGCACAGGTGTAAAGGCGTGAACACACACACACGGGCGTGAAGGCGTGAGCGCGCACACGGGGCGTAAAGGCGTGAGCATGCACAGTGTCCAAGGTGCCTTGGGCAGTCGCTGGCTTGGAGAGCAGAGTCCTGCTGGAGGAGGCTGGGCGGGGAGTGCAGGGCCCGGCCAGGAAGGCCCGGTGCCCTAGACGCGGTTAAATGGGGTTAAATGTTGTCGGGGGACAGGAGACACGAAGGGATTTCTAGGGAGATACCCGGCTGGTTTTGTTTTCCGAAACCTTACCCGGAATCAACAGAAACACAAATTAGGATAAGAGTACAGCAAAGTCACCCTTTGCAAAGTTTTCCTGTATAAAAGTCACCGCCAGTTAGACCATGTAACGAAAGGAAAAACATCCTACATTGGCAGCAAACGCTTCCAGTCCCGGGAGTACAGTCAACAAGGAGTGCGGGGAGGGAACTAGAAGTGTTGACTGCGGGCAGGTAAGGAAATTTCAGCAACGGAGAGACCGCGTTTCCAGACGGCCAACCTCCGTTTTGTAAAGATGTCAGTTCTCCTAAATGAACCTGTATATTCAATGCAGTTTCTAGAAAACTCAGTGGTTCGGGGGAAATTGACAATTTCTGACGTTCTTTTGGAAGAGAAAGTTTATAGAATAAATGATAACCCTGGGGGGGGGGGGGCACGAGGGTAGATGCGCCCTCTCTGCACATAGTTTAAAAAGCACCACGAGGCACTGCGAGCGGTTGGTGCCGGCACAGGAAGAGACGGGTACACCAGCAACAGCACAGCCCTGCCCGCCTGAAAGGGAGCTGGGGAGATCTGAG